CTGCTTTGGCAGGAGAAGGGTTGTTTTTCAGTTCAGCTAAAGGAACTTTGTTTCTGGAGAAAAGAAAATTACTCTGATGCAGAAGAGATGAGTGGGAAAGGGGCAGAAGCGTGAGGGAGTCTGGAGCCACCGAAGGACCCTCAGCCACCTGAAGTCACAGAGGCAAGCAAAGGGAGCCAACGGTAGGGAAACGGATGAAGACAGCAGAGCGAGAGAAGGAACGGAGGGAAGTCCAAGGCTGAAGGACCAAGGGGAGATGGGGCCAAGAGCAGTAAAGCAGAGGAGCACCCCGGGCCAGTGGGAGGGTGCATGGCTGCCAGTAACACAGGCTGAAACACAGGACGGTGCTGAAAAACAAGGTGGAAGGACTCAGGACAATCCTGTATTTAAAATGGACAGAAGTATTAATACCGGTATTTGTATGCCATTTTGGCTGGGGTCAGGATTTAAGAGCTCTATTACAGCACGGGTATACGCAGCCAATTACAAAAAAAAGCGGCCAAGGATATAGAACGCCATAAAAATGACATTTCTGCCCTTCAGCGCGCACAGATAATTCTGACTGAATCCAGTAGAAGTGTCAAACTGTAGCCAAGGGCAAAATTGTCCCTTTGTCCTTGTATCCAGACACACCAGCTGACTGATCCTCAACTCCACTTTCCCTCACGCATTTTTTCCTACCTAGCTTTTCTGCACACCTAATAAAAGGATGCAACATCTCCAAAAAAAAATTCAAGCAAAACATCTCCAGCCTAGTAGTCTGCACACCAATGGAGGTTAATGCTGCAACCATAAATGTTATCTTTAAGTAAAGTAATGAATTAAATTACTCTATATTCTTTCCTAGCACAAGTGTCAACAGCATTCAGAAGAATCTTCAAAAGGAATTCAGTCTTTTCATTTTAAAAGCTCAACTACCACATCAGTAGCTGGCACTCAGCAGTCTAAAATCACTTATTTGAGAAAGTCTCTAATAGCTACATTCTCTGTTTGCTCAGCAGAAGTATTTATTATAAAATAAATTACAGTTCTCACACCTTTTATGCACTCACAGAAACAACTTGCATTGATTTATTGTTTACAAAGCACCGTGCTGAATTCAAACCTGCAAGGTATGAGGAAACTCTGCTTTGGCTCACTGAATTAGTCCCATACAGGTCATTTTTGATGTATTCACCATCCGCCACTTTTGCTCATTTCCAACCCTTCCTATTTCAGTACTTCTCTTTATTTCAATGTAACTACTTGACAGGCAAAATACCATCCAGCTCAAGGCTGCCAGCATCTTGTCCTGAAGGTTTTCATTGAAAACCTGGTGGGAACCTTGAAGGGAACAATGGGAAAGGTTAGCAAATCTGTGGTTATACGGACCCTGAATTTCTGACCAAAGGCATTCCATGTGAACTAAACTCACTTATAAGAGTAACAGATCTGACCATTTCACTTTTAACTTTCTTTGTTCCCGAAGCAACACGCGACTTGGCCTCTGGATTCCCCAATCACCCCAAGAGCTGAAGGCAAGGACTAAGACCCCAAAGTTGTGTCTTTCTTCAGATAGTTACAGAGAATGAGGGTAACTAGTAACAAGAAGATCTTTTGCTAAAATATTTACAGTGTTTTACAGCAGATCTCTACAATGCAACCCAGCATTATTCAGGGTTTGTCAAGGGTGATATTTTCTTAACATTAAACCAGATCATGAGAGAAAGCGTGGGTAAAAGCTGTTTCCAGGAACAAATATTATCTTCCCTGTGTTTTCTCATTCCACTGATAGTATAATCAACCTGATCTAATTCCTTATAATCTCTGTGCTAGAGGAAAAGTAATCATGTAAGCAAGACAGTTCTTCAGTCTGTATTACAGATAGCTTGGTCTAAGTTTCAACACTTTCAGGCTAAGGAATTTAGGAAATCAAATTTTAAGCCCAAGCGTTTGGAGCTACAGAATAAGCATCACCAAGTAAAAAGAATCTGAACTGTTGAAACAGCATGACTGTGAAATATTCTATTATTTCTTCTCTTGCTACTGTGTTTGAAGTGAAAAACAAAACGCATTAAAAGCTATAGATTTTACAAGGTATAAGCTTTTACCAGTCATGAAAGAGCCCTCAAAGCTAACATGCCAGCTATAAAAAAAACAACTTAAGGAGTTTAAAAAAAAAAAACAAAACCCAACCCGCTTTTCAATTCAATTGCTTATGGGAAATAAAAACTGCAGAAAGGCTCAATTTTCTTTTTAAGATCAAGATAACCGATTAGGTTTGAACAGCATTACAAGCAAGCAAATTCAAGAATTGGTAACATGGAAGAAGCTCAGTTCTTTTTCTAAATAAAATTAAATCAGATGAAAACCCTAAACACCATGAAGCTATCCACTTGCAAGCAAGAAGAATCTGGACTTTATGATTAAAATCCAGTTGATCCAACTCCTTCATTTAGATACCAGTGTAAAGAGGCAGAAACAATTCCTTTTTTATTAACATGACAACTGCATGGTTTGCCAAATCTTGTGGCTACAGCCCCCTAAACATTCAAACTTACTGAACCTTGAAGGAAACTGCTGTTGGATTCTTTATACATGGAAGAACTGAAAAATACAGATGACACTTTTGAAATTGCAGTCAGTGGCATAGCCAAGAAACTTCACTAGTGGGGCAGATGAATATTTTGGTTTGGCAAAAAACACACAACATTTTTCCCACACATTTGTTTTCTTAAAAACATGTATAAGTTTACTGGTCAGAGCAAACGGTATATGGAGCCACTGGGGCTTGTTAAAATGTTCTAATTACTAAAACATTTTCGCAGGCAATTTCAAACTAAAAGCATACATTATCAACTAATGTGCATTTATATTTAATTAAGAAAAAA